AAAAGGACAACGACTTCGACCGAAAAGGGGGTTGAAATGAATTTCCAGGACGCCGGCACAAACAATGATTTCGAGTTTCGGTTTCGCTTTCCTTTGGCCTGTGGTACACATAAATAGCCGCCACCGAGTCCACCGAACGTCATTCGCAGCACAAACGTCGAGCCGACTGGAGGTCTTCTGCATAGAGTCCTAGTCCGCGAGGATCAGCGTTATCAGTTTGTTGTTAAGTTTGCTTAGTTCCCGTTCTACGTTCTACGTTTCCCGTTCTACGTTCCCCCGTTCTACTCCGTTTTCGTTTTGCCAAGTTGAAGTTTTAAGTTTGAAAGTCCCATCGATGCCATGGCCCAGATACAGACACCGGTACCGATTCCAGCCCCCTCGGAGCCCACCGAAAAGCTCAGCCACCCGCACAGCATCGGCATCCAGTTGCAGCACAAGGGCATGCCCCATGGCCTCGGCCTGCTGACCACCGTGGCCTCGCTGCCCCCCAAGTACCGCAGTCGTTACCTGAACCTGAAAACCAGGTGCGAAATACCGCTGGATCTAACGCTGAAGCTGCCCTCACCACTGCCCAGCAGCGATGTGCCCATGGCGGCCACATTCGCGGAGGTCTACAGCGAGAGTACGGCTGCTAGTTGCAACGAAGTGCAGGTGGCGGTGTCCAAGGTGGAGGAGCTGCCGGTGAAACCGCCAACGCCACCGCAGAGTCCAGCAGGGAAGCGCAAATTGAGCCGGGAGAGCGATGACGACGAGCAGCCGGCTAAAATGTCCAAAAGGGAGGTCGTGCCGGTAGTGGAAACAGTAGAAGCCACACCGGCGAAGCCCGTCAAAGTGGCAGATTCAGCACCTAAAACCAACAAGGCCTCCACTTCGTCGGGGAAGCCCTCCCGCAACAAAGCCACCCGCAAGCTGAAGTTCGATGAGGAGACCAGTTCCCCCGTCTCGGGCACCATCATCCGACCGCTGGAGGACATCACCGATGGATCGATGCAGTACAGCAACGGCGACATTGACCCCAAGTACAACATAGTGGAGATCACGGAGGAGACCAAGGCGGAATTGGCCGCCATCAAGAACGTGATTGGGGACTATGTCTGCCGCCTGTGCAAGATCAAGTTCGAGGACGCCTTCGGCCTGGCCCGGCACAGGTGTGCCTGCATCGTCCTGCTGGAGTACCGGTGTCCCGAGTGCGGCAAGCAGTTCAATTGTCCTGCCAACTTGGCCTCTCATCGCCGGTGGCACAAGCCGAGAAAGGAGGCGTCCAAAAAGGAGAATCGCAATACCACCAACCAGCCGGAGAAGCAGCAGCAGCAGGTGGAGAAGAAGTCGGAGGAGGAACTGGCCTTCGATTGCCAGGAGTGCGGCAAGAAGTTCAAGAGGGCCGCCTACCTGAGAAAGCACCAACTGACCCATCAGAAGAAGGAAAAGCCTGTGGAGAAGCAGTTGGAAATGAAGCCCACCACCACAACCATCACGGGCAGTTTTCACTTCAACCAGGCGGTGTCCACCTCCTCCTCCGCCAGCAGTTCCCACTCCGATGAGGGCGTCTACGTGGTGGGGTCCAATGCCAAGGAGAACTACGACTATGACAACGACTACCTCTCGGACTCCAGCTCCTCCGCCTCGTCTGCGGGATACGGTCGTCTCCAGATTGTGGAACATGGCCTCACGGAGGAGGAGAGCATTGCTGCCGCGGCTCTGACCAACTTGAGGAACTGCGCCTCCGTCATCCAGCACACCACCATGGCCCACTGAAATCGAGTGAGATTTATTTTTAATGTTAAGTTTAGTTACTAGTTGAACACCAAACCCGATGCAGCTGAAACAGACCAAAGAATTAGTTATATTCAAGGGAAAATTGGGTTTCCAATTTCGTATTCTTAGTTAGCTATAAAGTTTAGTTCTTAAACCGATTCAGTTTCGTTCGCAAAATGAGTTCAATTCTAGTCAGACTCTAGTTTGTATCCGTACTTCGGGCCACATTCCACAGGCAATTTAGTTGTAACCTTATTTCTAGTCAGTGAAACCAAAGAATCTTGGCACTAGTCAGCTTCAATACGATCTCGAAATGGGTGTCTCTTGTGTACCAGGACGGCATTTCTAACAATCTCTAGATTTAGATAGCTTAGGAACTTTTGGGAGTGCAATGAACCTAAAACGAAAGCCAAAGAAACCAACCAAAGATTTATAGCTAGTATATATATACTCTTCGTTCTACTCTTTGCTCCTACATCATCCATTCATCCTACATACTCTTTGCTCCTACATCATCCATTCCCTATACATGCTAAATCATAATCATCCTTCATTCTTCCTACTACTAATCATCTTATAACTTTCCATACTTCATTTCCTCATGACTCATCCTTATCATCCTTGCCTTTTTCGCAAATCATTTTCCACCCAAAACTTAACCCTTTCCAACATTCTCAAATTGGAAATTTCTCATCATTCTAGTCACAAGTTCTTGCATTCCTTCTAGTCACTTAGGGTAAATAATCTCTATAAGTCAGCTTCAGTTCGGTCTTACTAAGTTTGTACAAACATATATCGTTCTTCAATTTCGGATACAGCTTTAGTCCTATTCAGGTTATATACCGAAACCAAAATTCAGGCAAAATTGTGCAGTAATAGTTTTTAAGTTCGATTCAAACCAAACAGCAAACCAAATCCTAGTTTAAAGCAAAACCAAGCCCAGTGTTGGTCAACCAAAGTCGAGTGTGAGCTCTAGTCATTTTAGCCACCTAAGAAACCAGGGAATCAGCTTGTTCTCAGTTTAGTTAAGTTCAGTTAGTTTAGTTAGGCATAGAAACGGACATTGGACCAGCGTCTCACTACCAGTCAAAGTATTGAACAGTACAACCTAGCTATAAGGGCCCCAGGCTTCAGAACCGGCGGTTGTGTACTTAAAGCAATAAAATAAGTAATCCCCGATCTTGGGACAATATCACAGCGCTATTGTTCCTTAGCATCTGTTTGTGTAAATTGGTTGTAACCGCAGAGTACAACGAAAAGGGAAACTTTCGCTCAATCTAGCAATTAAGTATCTCTAAGCTATATCATATGGAACCATATCGGTTGAGATTTTGTGATACTACATTCTAAGCTTCAAGTTTACAAGAGAATCGTTGTGCTCATTTGTGCATTAACAATAAGCTAAGAGGAAACAGATCTTTGAACCAATTATTTTTATACGTAATACGAGTATACATCATGTATTTTTATACGAAAACAAACATTTGAGTATAAGATGTAATCGACATATATTTATCAGAAACCAATATATTTTTATACAAAACCAAATTTTGGAAAACCCATAAAAATTGTAAATTATAAAAGCTCTTGAATAAAAACGCAAAACTGAAAATGGAAACTTCTTGTTCTTCGGGTTGTCAGGCAAAACAAACCCCCAATGATTGCTTTATAATTGTGGCGAGGTGCTCATATATCATCTATACGGGGGTTGCAAGACTGGTAAACAATAATGATGAGTGTTCCTTGGGTGCTTTCTCATAATCATGCCCAAATAACGCCGAACTGCAGTAATGAAATGCCATTAAGGGCCATTGACATGGTCCATCGATCTGGGACCGACTAAAACAAATACCAAAACACACTAACTGCCAAGGCGGAAAAGCGGAAGTGGACTAGAATATCGAATCGGACAGATGCACTTGGGCACTGGGCACAGGACGAGGAAACTTGATGACTATGGGGTGGAATCCCAGGGTGTTTTCAACTAAGTTTCTGTCTCTGGTCCATGGTGTAACTCTAAACGGGCCAAACTAATGATGCCCTCGACGGAAACGCGTAAAAAATGTTTAATCAAATACAAATGCATGACAGCACGGAAAAAAGCCGAACAGGATATGCCAGGATATGCTAGGATATGCCGGGATAGTACGGGATGCGAGGGTGCAGCGGAATAAAACTAAAGGATGCGGGGGTGGCAGTTGCGTGCGCGGTGTGAATCAATTTAAAGCGTCGCAAGATGTGGATGTCCCTCCCCTCCCCACCCCTCGCACATCGAAAATTGTGTAAAATCATGCCGCAAAACTACCCTGTCGCTGTTTTGAAGGGGGTGATGCAGCAGCCGTAAGTCACCAACATCTGTGTCGCCGGCCTGTAGCAAACAAAAAACATAAAACACTAATAAAACGATCTCGGAAACCGATACGTTTTGCAGTTTGCACCTTGGCACGGGGCATTCCTGCACTGTGGTACCCGCATTAGGTGGCTGGATGTCCAACAAGTTCCCATTTCTGCGGGTCAAAGGCAGCTGCTCGCAGGATCTTAGTGCCTTTTAGATCCTCTGGGCTCTTATCCTGCTGCTCTGCTAATTTGCACCTTGAGAGGCCGTTTGGAAATCCGTTTGGGACTACCTTATGCAGGTCCTTTGTTCGCGAAAGTGCCATGTGTTCTAATGGCACTCCTGCAAGGAGTTGACAGATTGATGAGCCCGATTGGGCCGATTTGAAGTGCCGACCACTCGAGTAATCCATTTGATTACCATCATCATTGGCAGACCACTTAGAGTTGCCCGCCCAAGGGGTTTTTCAATATGCAAATTGCGATTATACATGTAGCTGCTGCAGTTGTAGGATTTGAAAGGATATCTTCGTACTAACATGCTGGCTCATTATTTTCGATCTTTGAAACCCATTTGATCAAGGCTCTTAAATCATTTACAAAAATCAAACAGATTAGTAACTCCTTTAAGGGTATGCTTTCAGAGTTAGATAGGTTAGGTCTATGCATAACTTATCTGTCTTCTGAAACTTCTTCATTTACTTCAATAAAACTAATATGTGGGAAGGTTTAAAAAGTGTTACGCTGCTTATAGGACTTCGAAAGCTTCCAAAGCTGATGGCAAAAGCGCCCCATGCAACACTGCGATATCGCAGGTCCTGGCAGCAATCGAAATGCAACCCGGCGTTAAGTTGGCAGCTCCGACTGTCCGCGGAAATAACGGTTATCGGGAAATTTTCTCCGGCGGAGAGACGCCTGCATAGAGAAGGACTCGGAGTGCCGAGATGGAGTCTCAGCCGGAATCGCACACCTGACATTCATGTTGTGGCCATTCTGGCAGTCAGACGTGTGGATCGCAAGTCCGGAAAACCAAGAGCCGAAGCCCAAGTGCAAGGTGGAGGAAAGGTCTCAAGCAGATTCGCTGTCCGTGAACGGTTTACGGTTGCGGTTTACGGGTCGCGTCTCCGAACTTTATCCGGTAAATAGATAGTGACTTGAAATAGTGGCCAGCGAGTCGAGATGAGGTGTTAGTTTCTATGAAAATTGCACAGAGAAGCACAGAGAAAACTGTGCGTTCAAAGTCGCAGCATGTGCTATGGCCCCAGGGGGTGGTGACTGGGTGGGTGGTTCTGGATGGGGATGTCCTGTTAAAGAGAGCAGCTCGACTTATTGATTGAGCTTTCCACGCTCGCTCTCTGTGCCAAAAATACGGGTACTTTTGGTTGGGGAGCGCGGAAAAGCTTTTGTCCGTTTTCCCGCTGCCACTGCTGCTTGCCTTGGGTGAATTTTTCAGCAATTTTCATTTTCAGTTTTTCTCCCGACTGTTTTAGGGCGGTTCCGCAAGTAGCAGCGAATCCTGCGATTTAGGCACACTCAACTCGAACGCGTATGAAAATTGCCTTTGCCCCAAGGAAATTAAAACACAAGCTCAACCAAAATTAAATGTATTAAGCAAACATTTGCCGCAAAGAACTGGAAATTAATGTGGAAAATGAAAGTTGAGAGGCACGCAGGATAATATATGAAAATATTATGACAAAAAGTGTTGTTATTGTTTGAGTGTGTGGCCTGCTTTTAAACGCGTGCGTGTGCTTTTGTGTGTCTGCGTGACTCCTTTGTGTTTGTAAAATTCAATAAAATGCAAAGGATTGCAATTGCCAAAATGGCAAATTACAACAAAACGCGCACATACACATGGAAATTTGTCAGAACAGAAATTTGGGCAGTGTGTGCGCGTAGTTTTGATTTTCTCTGCGGGCTCTGTGGCTTACTCTCTGTCTGTATTGGTTTGTGTATGTGTGTGTGCGGCTCTCAGAGTACTCTGTGTGTGTGTGTATGGTTGTATCTGTGTGAATGTCCTTCGCTGCTTACGTACGCAGACTGAGTGACTCGATTGAGGCGGCTGCCTGAATGGCTGGCAGGTCCTGTGCTCCTTTTTCCTTTGTGAAATGAATGCGTATTCAATGAGCAATGAAATCCGTGACACGTTCGCGCCTTCGCTCTCTATCTCTCTCTTCCCCATTTTCCGCAGCACTCTCCGTGCATTTTCCATTTAATTTATTTTTTATTGCTCTGGCCCGCCTTTGTTCTTGCCCAATATCCGTTTTAAATAAAAGCGACATTAACACCATAACCTTCTGACATTTATCTGTCTTCTGTCTCTCGGTCTTAAATGCTCACCCAGACATGGTCGCAAGTGCCGCAGAGCAGAGAGAAGCTTGCCACATGTGCGTCCTTTTGTCCCTTGTGCTGCCCTGAACATTCCTTTGGCCCATTCACTTGCAAAATCCCGCATACCCACTGTGTTAATTTGAGCTCGAAAGTTAGCCCATTAATTGGCTGGCAAGAATTACTCCACTGTTCGCTTGAGTGAGCCGCCATACTCGTAATATTAATAAATTCCTCAACAATAACTATGCCAAATGCAGTTCGTTCTAAAGCAAACTAAACTAAGCTCAACTAATTCAAAACTAAACCAAGCCAGAGACCAAACAAAATAGAGAAAAACTTGTTGAAGTACTTGATTGATGTGTGTGCCCAATTGGCTGCCGAATCGAGCGAGCTAAACCGAGAAGGAGTCTCCGCAGCCAGGAAAAAAGGTGAGTCAACCGACTGTCTGTTTATATTGAGATTGGGGAAAGCTGCGGGAAAACTAGCTGGGAAAATAGCTGGCGTTTTCTGCTCTAAGTCAGGAGTGCATCAAAGTAGTTAGTCGTCCAGACGTCAAGAAGAAAAAACTCTATGATTTCTTTGCATTTCGGTTTTGTTCACTTATAAACAACATTTATTGGCATACAAATTGTTATGCAAAGATTATGTTGAGTTGAGATACAACCGTATTTGAAAGAAGTTTTTATATAATAACATAATTTTTCTTAGTTACTTCCTAACTTTACTTTAGCCTGTTATATTTTTGATTCATGACCTGTTTACTTGCGTTTTTGAAGTCCTTTTTATCACTTATTCAAAGAGCACGGGAGCTGATTCAGAAGTTCTCTAAATGAAACCACATATAGAAATAAATATAGACCTCATTTCAGCAGCCCCTGAAAGCCAAACACAAGAATTAATTACTCACTTTCCAGGACCATCACTGTGGACCGAAAATCAACCCGAATTTGGGTCTCCGTTCGGTTTTCAATCAGCAATCAGCGAGAATAAAAAGTTGTGAGCTTTCTGCCCCTTCCCCAGCCAAAATGTCCATTTGCGGATTAGGCATCCTCGCCAGCAACTGTATCCTTTATAAACAGCCGCTGGTCCTGCGAAAAGGGTTTTCCGAAGCATGTAGCATAATTTGAAGAGCACACACTTTCGATGGCCGAAAATATTGTTTGGCGTTTCACAAAAAAGTCTATTAATAAAAATAAGCAAAAATCACTGGGCGTCTGAAATTGACCCAAAGTAAGAAAAGCCAGCGAGCAATTTTCTTAGCCAGCCAGCAAACTTCAACTTGGCGAATCAACTTGGCCAAGAACAATTTTTTTTTGCCTGCCCCAGTGCGTTTACTTAAGCAATCAACTCGACCTCAAACACACACTCACTTCGTCCTGTTTATACATATATTTTTTCGTTATATTATAACAACTAAAGGAGGCCGCAAAGTTTGTGTGCACACAGAAAAAAAGCAGGGGAAAATCGGGAAAAACCCTTTGCCATCGAAGCGAATTTGGAGCAGAAATCGCAGTGCATATGGGGCTACCGCCCTGACATCTTCGCATGTGTGTGTGTGCGTTGCTGTTTGTTTGTGTGCGGCAGACAAATAAAACATTTGCGCGCAGGCAAAGTTTGTTTAGTTTTTCAATTCCTTCTTTCGGTTTCGAAAATGGAATCAGCATCGGAAACTGAATCTGGATCCAGCGAAACATTTACACGCGTGCATAACAAAGAACGTGCAAATTCTCACGTCAACACACACATAAAGCAAATCGCAAACACACACAGGCACGGCCAACGCACACACGCACACATGCACGCACGGGCAATGTCAACATGTGTAGCACACTTTTTGGGGCCTGGCATTATTTGCACCTTTCGCCTCCGTTGTTATCCGCCGCTCTTCGCTATCCTTTGCCATCCTTTTTTCTTACCTTCCGCTCTCTCCTTTTCGGGGGTTTCCCAGAAACATCAAAGCTCCATTCTGCACCGCAAAAAACTATAAAAATATAATGGATAAGTCAGCCATTTCGTTTAATGCAAATACATTTTTACAGATTTATCTATTTGAAATATTTTGTTGGCTAATCTTACTTTTGTGTGCAACTGGCAAAGTATTTCATATTTTCTCTCGGTGCATGACTCCCTTTTGTTGTTATTTAGTGCCTTCGTTGTGGACTTTTATGCCCTTGCTGTTGCCCAGCCCCCGCTTTATTTGGCTGTGTGTTCGTTTGGGTCCTGCGATTTGTATCTGGCTATCTGCGAGATACTCGCCATCTTGTGCAGTTATCCGCTTTTGGAGCCCCTTTTGGAAACCCTTTTGCGGTTCCTTTATGATGGGCGCATAAAATATTTGTCATACATTCTTCACGAAAATCGGCAGGCCAAATGGGCCTGTGTCCTCCATTAAAGTTTGCCTGCAATCCTTTTCGGCCGCTGCTTTCGGCCACGCCCAGCGTGCATAATCCTCGGATCTGTGCCGAGAACTCGCTTCTGCCATCTGTCGCAGCCTCTTTCTATGTATCTTTGTATCTAGCGTCTCGATGTCGCGTTTAACGAACTGTGTCATTTACACTTTTTGACAATAAAGTCGAGTTGCGGGGGATGCGGGATGCAGGACGAGCTGGAGCGGGAGCGATTCCCAATCCCCGGGTCGCCGTGTCAAAGTAAAAATATTTGCCTTCCATTCGCTTGACTGCATGCACGTCCCGGCGTTCCCAAGCTCCGTGCCATCCAAGCGCTGCAGGCGGCTCCACGCCCTCGGACCCTCGGATATTCGAGGTCCTGGCTCCGCGGATCGGGTCTCCTTTTCTCCGCTATTGACTTTTGGTCGGGTACGCTTTGACGACGATTACGCAAAGCCAATAATGAAATGACTTTGGGGTTTTGATTGGCAAAACATTGCGGGCTATAAATGCGCACACACAACGCCCTCCAGTGTGTGCGTGTGGATGTGTGTGAGCCTGTGTGTGTTTGCGCTAAAATTCACGCTCTATTAATGCCGCTTTGAGCGGCCCCAAAACAGCGCCACTCTCCATTGTGACTGTGCTGCGTCAACATTTGCTCGGCCCAGGCCTTTGATTTGCCATTTTAATTAGCCAGCAATCAAAGGGCGCAACCTCCTGATCGGCGAGGTCAACTGCAATCGAGGAGCGCTACTCACTGGGTATGGATTCCGTACCTATTTTCAAACTTTAATTTTTAAACCTATTGCTTGCATATGACTTCAGTTAGCTTAACTTATTTTTGTTTTGAATGTTCGTTTCGACCATAAATAAATAGCGCATGTTTGCTTTCCAAAGCCGTTCAAATTGTCTCGTTATTTATGTGTTTTGAACGAATGCGCCTTCGATTTCCAACTCTACTTTTCTTACCTAGAGATCTATTCGCTTTCCGCCCCCTCAAAAGCTGGTGAGATTTGCTTTTGGCCATAAACAAGCCTTCTTTACTGGGTTTCTGCGAATGAGCGCTTAATAAATATATCTCAATCGCTTGAGCGCGGCAAACGGCGCCGGTTCCCGTGCCGCCTCCGACCTGCCACGCCTCCCGCCCCCTCCTGTTATATAGATAGACCTATAGATATATATATCTATGCATGGCATGCCTGCTCATTGCTGGCAAGCGATCCGATGCCCTGAATGTTTACATAACGCCGTGCCACAAAAGCTGTAAGCCAAAACCAAAAGTCGAATGCCTGAATGGTCGCCATCTGTCTGCATGTGTGAGTGTATGTGTTTGTGTCTGTCTGTGTCGGCGAAGGTGCCCCAGTATGTGTGCTTGCCATTTTTAGTTACCTATATGCGAGCATGATTTGATATCGCATGAATTTTATGTGGAAAGGATATAAATATAAACATAAATAGCAATTGGCTTGCGAACAAAACTCAGGCGATTGGCGAGCTCAGCCGTTCGCGGAAACTTCTCCAATGTGTTGTACCCTGTAATTCAAAAGTTGTAAGGTATTGCGGCTGCTGGTTCATCTGGTTTTACATTACCGATATCATTGGGTATATGGCTCTGAAGCATGTTCTGAAAAATAAAAATCCATTTTTTATGCTGGCAGTGATGGGTATCAGGTACGCTGACCATGGCTCCTTTGGCGGCGCTCCCTCTGCAGTTGCCTGGATTTTATAAATAACATTTATTTGGCTCATTTGGCTGTTTATGGGCAAGAACATCTCGGCGCTGCTGTTCGACTCTCTTATCGTAATTACAATCTCATGTAAGCGACTCGCGCGATGCTGTTGCACAACTCAGAGGTCATAAAGCTGGGCTACTTTTGGCCCGATATAGATGTGGATATAGCCGTGTATATAGTGGCCAAAGGTGGCGGAGGAGCGCACAATGCAGCAGGCAACTAAATTAGACGGCATTTGAATGCGGCTCGTCCCCTACTTGGCCCAAAAGTGACTTTCGTGTTATTTTTTGTTCGGGGTTAGTTGTTGGTCAAACGCTTGGGGAATAATAAATAAGTATGTGTACGGCTGTGCGGCCTTTGTGCCAAACACAAAAAAAAAAAAAAAAAAAAAATAGAAGAGGCCAAAATATGCATGTTGTCCCAGCGTTTTCATAGTTCATTTGGGCAGCCTCCATTCGCATGGGTCAGTCAAGCGTGTTTTTGGGTTGCAGATTGTGTTTCGGGGTCCTTAGTGCTCTTGTCGATGAAGTGTGACGTTTATTAAACTCAATTTAAAAGAATGGCGGCTCATTTATTTTATTACTGCTGCCGTCAAGTGAGGCCGAGGGCCAAAGTTACCAGTGCCTCGGAAAAGCAAATCCTCATTGAGTTGGTAGCGGATACTGGATTGTGGATGGTGGATAGTGGCCCATTTTCCGGGAACCAAATTAGTAAGCCAACCCGTGTGAATGTGTCGGTTTTCTTGGTTTTTTCCCCGCCCACATCCACGTCCACATCCACATCCACGTCCACGTCCATTGCCATTTCCATTTCCATGTGTGCTTGTTCGAGGCAGAACAACCATTTGTTATTGATATTGACAGCTGCAAATAAATGAGCAATTTACCGGGGGCCATTTTCTTAGCCAGCCTGTGCTAAATTTAGCATTCTTCAAGCTGAAATTGTATGCCCACTTCGTTCCCTTCTACCCTTGCCATGGGTATTTTGTGTTTGCAAAGAAGTTACCCATAAACAGTAAATATTTTCGTTCGGAATTGATAGCCATTGATTCCGAAACATCAACAAATTGATTGCTATTAATAAGTGGCCAGTAATTTTCAGTTAAATAGGGAATTTTAGAAGCGTACACATTGCATCTGAATTGGCTAAAGCTGCCTTCAAATTCATAAATTTATGCAAACTGTTAAATATTAGGCTTTCATCAGGTTTCCTTATGAATATGGTATGTAAAGTACCCCAATGTTGCCTATCTAATGGCATTAAAGTAATTAAACCGAGTCGACCCAATTCGATTTGTGTCTAGTGTCT